CGTTGATTCAACAAATTTATTTGTCAAAACGTTCAAACTAACTTTTCTATCTTCTTTCAAAAGGCGTATAAGGTGACGAGAACCACAGTTAGTTATTTTAGAGGTCACCCCAGGGTGAGGAATTAGCGTTATTTTCCTATTTTTTTTGTAATAGGAAACAACATCATAGACGGTGCTTTTTGGTAAGTTTAAGGTTCATGCGATCTTTGCTGGCCACACATCACTCCGCCAAGCGCCAACAATTTGGGTACATTGTTTCTCGTTAAGTTGTTTCCTTTCTTTCATTATAAAAAAAAAAAAATTTCTAAAAAAAAAAAAAGTCGAATAGACCGGCATCTGGCGCAACTATAAAAAAAAAATTTGTATATTTATAGTAAGAGATTTGTCCCAAAAAAAATTATTGTATAACGTGAGTCATAGCCATCGATCGTATATAATTTTGAAATTTTGGTGATCACTGGCAGGGGAGTGTACATAGTAGTAGGGACTGGATTCGTGATAACTTGTGACTCACGAGTTAAACTCAGAAGAGTATTCGAATATATTCGAATCATGTGATCGAATTATTTTTTCGAGTTTTATTCGAATTACTCGAGTCAAAATATTATTTATTATAAATTATAAATGTATTTTAAAAATATACTAGTTATATTTATATATTAGGGATGTTATCCTTTATTTATAAAAGCAAATATCTCAAATTACAAGTTGTAATACAAATATATAGCAAGTTAATTATTCATTATTTGGAAATATTGTATCGAATAAATCCATATTTCTCTTTAAAAATAATATCTCACTTACTAATTCCGGATCAAGATTTGTGCGATTTGGTGTAATATTGTTTCCAACATCTGAAAATAACCGTTCAGATGAGACTGAAGTTGCTGATATGTACAAATACTTCTGTGCAATTTTTGATAATATAGGAAACCGTTCTTTTTTAAGGCTCCACCATTGAAAAAGATCCATTCGTCTCCCCTTCTCTTCTAAAGCTAAGTAATCATCAATTTCACTAATTTTATCATTGTCATCAGCATATAAATCTAATAAAATTGATTTTCATTTTTTTGGAATTCTACCAGCTTTGAAATCATTATGATCATTATGCTGAATATTTGACAAAGACGTTAGATGTTTAGGAGTTGGGTGAATTTCACATTCCAATTCATACAAACTTTTTAAGTGTTTTTTAGTTTGTATAACCATGTTTGTGTTGGCAAAACGTAGCTTTTTAAAATGTGGATCAAGTAAATATGCCAACATGCTGTGTCTGTAACAGAATTCCAATAATGATACATACTATCATACAATACTTTTTTAATCTTCTCAAGCATTCCAATTGTAATCATTGGAACTAAGATGTTAATTGTTTTGTGTATAATTCCTAATGAAGCGTCAACTTCTTTAATCTCAACAATGTCTTTCATATCATCGATAATTTCTTCTACAAAATCGAGAATTGTTAATTCATCTATATCTGTTGAAGCTGATTCAATATAAGATTGTTGTAATAATATTTTTAAAGTTTTCACTAATGTTGAAATAGCTGGATATATTAAAGAAATTATTACATAAGTATTTCTACTTAGTAACGTCGTTATTTCTTCAAAACCACACAATATATCATTCAATTCGTCTAAAAATATCTATTCATCATTGCTAAGCATAATACATGCTAATCGTTCACCATCCTTTCGTACGGGCGCACTTTCATCTGATTGAAGCTGTGATGGAAGGTATACTATCGCTTTTTTTAAATAAAGAAGTCTTTTCTATGCATAAAATAATGAATTCCATCGTGTGAAAATATCTCCAATGGTTGATAAACATTTTTTAAACCCAAGGTCTCTTTGTGCAGTAAGGAGATATTCAGTTTGCTTAGATGAATTATTAAAAAAATCAATTAATCGTTTTACACGTAAAACCAAATGCCTAATCACGTTTAACCCTTTCCCAACAAACAATTGAAGCACATGAGCTGCGCAAGAAATTCTATCAAGTTCTAATAGTCAGGCAGCCTTTTTTACATTTGACCCATTGTTAGTAGTTATCGCTGTCATTTTGTTAATTAAACCCTATTCAACCAATATATTATCCAACAGTTCAGCAATAACTTCACCTGTATAGGGGTATAGAACATGTTGTAAAACAAGTAGTGCTTCTTTGAATTCCCAAAAATTAGAAATCCAAGCACATGTGATTCCAATATATCTCTTGTTATGACAACTTGTTCAAAAATCCATCATCATAGACATGGCAACACTCTCCTTTTTTATTAAGCCTGTTAATTGTTCTTTACTCCAAGAAAATGATTTGCTAACAGAAGTTTTTATAGTTTTATTACAGGGAATTGAAAAATTTTCATCAAGTGAATGCAGTAATTTTCGAAAACTTTTACATTCTACTATATTAAATAGCTGCGAGTTATCGATAATAAATAAAATTAAATTCTGCTATATCAATTCATACTCATCCTCAGTTCTATTAAATTGATTTTTAATAGATCGGCAAGAATTATTTTTCAATATCCTATGCTGATGAGTGAGATGGTTAATCAAATTTGAAGTTGTTGAGCCGTCATTATATGAGACACCACATTTCTTTCCATTATCTAATATAACTTTACAGATCGCAGTTATACCATTATTATCTTTGTCAAAGTAGTCCTAGACGAAACTTTTAGGGTGACCTTTAGACTGATTAGTAGTTGTACTTTTTTTATACAATTCTTCGTGTTCACTATGTTCACTATCACTTTCATTTTGCGCCATATTTGCATAGATAACTTGCAAGAGTTATTATTAAAATTTGCGATTGCAATATTTTGTATGTAGAATTACATATATCATGTTATTTATTTATTTATTTTTTTTTAATTTTTAATATATTGTGTTATTAAACTTCACAAAATTATATATGTATTATGTAATTATTAAAACATTATTAATACAACTTGATAAAAATCGCGGTAATGAAGAATGAGCCTTAGTAATCATTAAATTACGCAATTAATTAATTTGCAAATAACTCGTGAGTTAAACTTTCATGATTTGAAGAGTGATAAATTCGAATCACTCAAGTCATGAGTTGACGAGTCCAGTCTCTACATAGTAGTAGTAAAGTAGATGTGAAATTAAATGTTTTTTGTTATAATAAGTTCTTACCTTTTTATTAGTAAATAGTTTTTAGTTCGGTTATTTAATTTGATTTTTTTTTAAAGGTTTTGAAAGAAACAACTTGTAAAAATGTTAATACATAAGCATTGCGAAATAACAAAGATTTTTGAGCTCAAAGGTTCAAAGATAATAATAAAAATACTTGAATTTTATAGTATTTATTACAGTTGATACTGTTTAAATGCATACTGCATACTGTATAAATGCATAATTTTTTAATACCGTAATTTGTGGCAAATAGTACCCCTTGTTAAAGTACCTGCCCACCGTCAATTTAGCGTCAATTTAGTCAAATTATATAGTCAATTGACGGTCCTAGGGAGGGTACTATTCAATTTTTAAGGCCTAGAAATATAAGAGACCCGGGGTACTATTTGCCACAAATTACGGTAGTAATATGTATTTAGACAGTAAATTTTCTAGTATTTGATTGGTTAATACTGTTTAAATATATAAAATTGATTTTTTTGTATCTATCAATGGTATGCATTTAGACAGTATCAACTATATATTAATTTAATAAACAATCTATTTATTATCTGAAGAAGATCTATAAATAAATTTTACTATTGAGCTAAATATAGAAATATTATATCTAAACCTTTTTTTGATTAAATAAATTACTTTTAAGCTTCTAATAAAAGTTGTAGAATATATCAAGACATATTT